AATAGTAGTACAGTAGTAGTACAGTAGTACAATAGTAGTACAGTAGCAGTACAGTAGTACAATAGTAGTACAGTAGTACAATAGTAGTACAGTAGTAGTACAGTAGCAGTACAGTAGTAGTACAGTAGTAGTACAGTAATAGTACAGTACGAAGGTTTATGAGCACCTGGAGCTCTTTAGGGGGGTTTGGGGATCACAAAAATCTGGAAAACAAAGCCCCGATCACTCCAAGACAATTACCTAGACTAAAAACCCTTCATTTTGAAGACTTTTGTCTCCAACCTACACCCCCCCTCCACAAGTTTGGGGCTACTGGGGGTTGGGGGCCCGGGGGTGCTCCCTTAAGATTGACCATTAGTAGACAGGAGCAAACCAAGCCCAAAAAATCCACCGGCCAAAAAACAACGCATTAATTAGGACACCCGACTTTTTTGGTCACTGGCTTGAAGTAGCAAAAAAAACGCATTAAAGAGGCAGTACTTATTAAAAGGGCCACCACATTACTCGGACTCAGCTCGCAAGTGACCGCGAGGGCGCGGGCGAGCGCCTCGGTCCCTACGAGCGTGGAAAGCGCGTATTGGAACGGGCTGCACACTTCCATGAAAGCGTCAGATGCCTGTTGGGCAAGGGTCCGAGCTACCAGGCGACGGAAAACGTCGCCCATAACTAGGACGTATGCCCCCGTTCGGTTTCTGTAGCGCAACAGTCGCCCAAGACGGAGGCCGTCGACGACCTTTGCCGGCAGACCGCCTGCGGCGAGGAGTTGGGCGGCATGGAGGAGCAGCTCGGAGCAGGTTTCGTCGTGAAGCAGTGTATGCAGATGTTGAGCGGCGCAACCGGATGGCTCGGCGGCTGCTCCCCGCCGGGTCCTCCGCAGGTTACCAAAGAACTTACCTGCATCGAGTGCCATATGTCCGTTCTCTGGGGACAACTGGTCGGTGGCAGGGGCGAGCGGGGAGGCCTCGTGCGGCAGACAGTTCACCCAGATGCGCCGGCGCGACAGCACGCTCGGCCCGCCGCTGTGTGTCCAAAGCGGTGGAGGAGTGGTGGAGGCGGCGGCGGGCCCGGCCGGTCGAGGTGGTGATGGCACGCGGCGGCGTTGTTGCTGGGCTCCGCTTGGGCGGCCGGCAAAAGTAGCTCATCCCGGCGGTCCCGCGACAACAGGTCAACCCGCCTAGTTAACTCTTGGGGCGGGACCCGCGTTTGACCTCTTTCACGGTACAATAACATCCGTGGCGCCAGCAGGAACAACTTCCATCCAGCTTCTTGATCCGGTGCCTCCCGCACCAGCTCAAGCCCCGCACGTAGCACTTGGCGTAGGGCTCCCCGGATCTGTGGCGGCGGGCTTTGTAACATGTATGCTCGTCGTTTCAACTCGGCACCAAGGTCCGACGCAAAGGCGCCTGCGCTCGCCGCGGGTCACATTTGGGTCGGCGGAGCGGGAATGCAGTGCCCTACGTCCGCCGCGTCAACACAAGTTGCTGCCTCCGCGCCGGATTGCAGGCGCGTGCGGCGGCGCCCCCTCCCATTTCCACGGCCCCGCCTGCACCGGCCCGTGGCTCGGCCCACCGCGGCCTCTGCTGCTGCCGCCAAAACATCCTCGTCGGCGTCTGTTTCCAGGGGGCCGCCGTTAGAACTAACTCGTCGGCGTCTGTTTCTAGTGCCGGAACATTGTAATGACGGGGGCGCGCGAGAGATGCGGGGCGCCGCCAAGGCGGTACACCTCGGCGAGCGCAAGGATCTCGTTGGACAAGGCTACGTTGCCATAGGCTTGTTGTGTGTGTGTTGTCATGCGAGACGCTGTTGTGTGTGGCGATGGAAACCAAAGATCACAGAAGTGCCTTATAGTTGATTGTAAGAAGCAATGTTCGGCAAGCGCAAGTATATGTGATAGGATCCATGAAGACGACCAAAGTTGAAATGTTTGTTCAGGTCGTGCTGTTTGGCCGCGGCCAGGGCACAGAATGCACAACAGTTTGATTTGCCAGATTTTTGTGTTGTTGCGCATGCGCAAGCATGAGCACCGAAAGAGCCTTGTGCTGCATGGCAGATAGCCAGGGCACGTGCAAAGCAAGCAGTGCGATTAGTGATTAGTTCGTATCCCGGGGCCATTCAAAAGTGAGAATGGAGCAGAATCAAGATGTGCGGCCGGCACATGTAGAATCAAGCGATTCAAATTTGTGTGTGTTGTCATGCGAGACGCTGTTGTGTGTGGCGATGAAAACCAAAGATCACAGAAGTGCCTTATAGTTGATTGTAAGAGGCAATGTTCGGCAAGCGCAAGTATATGTGATAGGATCCATGAAGACGACCAAAGTTGAAATGTTTGTTCAGGTCGTGCTGTTTGGCCGCGGCCAGGGCACAGAATGCACAACAGTTTGATTTGCCAGATTTTTGTGTTGTTGCGCATGCGCAAGCATGAGCACCGAAAGAGCTTTGTGCTGCATGGCAGATAGCCAGGGCACGTGCAAAGCAAGCAGTGCGATTAGTGATTAGTTCGTATCCCGGGGCCATTCAAAAGTGAGAATGGAGCAGAATCAAGATGTGCGGCCGGCACATGTAGAATCAAGCGATTCAAATTTGTGTGTGTTGTCATGCGAGACGCTGTTGTGTGTGGCGATGGAAACCAAACATCAAAGAAGTGCCTTATAGTTGATGGTGTTCGAAAAAGCAAAGTTCGATAAGTTCGGTAAGCACAAATATATTCGATAGGATTCATGAAGACGGCCAAAGTTGAATGGTTTGTTCAGGTCATGCTGTTTGGCCCCGGCCAGGGCACAGAATGCACAACGGTTTGATTTGCTAGATTTTTGTGTTGTTGCGCACTCGCAAGCATGAGCACCGAAATAGCCTTGTGCTGCATGGCAGATAGCTAGGGCACGGGCATAGCAAGCAGTGCGATTACTGATTAGAATGTGATTCGTATCCGGAGCATAATCAAGATGTGCGGCCGGCACATGTAGAATCAAGCCATTCAAACTTTTGTGTTGTCATGCGAGACGCTGTTGTGTGTGGCGAAGGGAATCAAAGATCAAAGAAGTGCCTTATAGGTGATGGTGTTGGAAGAAGCAACGTTCAGTAAGCGCAAATATATTTGATAGGGTCCATGAAGACGGCCAAAGTTGAAATGTTTGTTCAGGTCGTGCTGTTTGGCCGCGGCCAGGGCACAGAATGCACAACAGTTTGATTTGCCAGATTTTTGTGTTGTTGCGCACGCGCAAGCATGAGCACCGAAAGAGCCTTGTGCTGCATGGCAGATAGCCAGGGCACGTGCAAAGCAAGCAGTGCGATTAGTGATTAGTTCGTATCCCGGGGCCATTCAAAAGTGAGAATGGAGCAGAATCAAGATGTGCGGCCGGCACATGTAGAATCAAGCCATTCAAACTTTTGTGTTGTCATGCGAGACGCTGTTGTGTGTGGCGATGGAAACCAAAGATCAAAGAAGTGCCTTATAGTTGACGGTGTTCGAAAAAGCAAAGTTCGGTAAGCGCAAATATATTTGATAGGATCCATGAAGACGGCCAAACTTGAAATGTTTGTTCAGGTCGTGCTGTTTGGCCGCGGCCAGGGTACAGAATGCAAAACCGACTGACTTGCCAGATTTTTGTGTCGTTGCACACGCGCAAGCATGAGCACCGAAATAGCTTTGTGTTGCATGGCAGATAGCCACAGAACGTGCATAGCCAGCAGTGCGATTGGTGATTAGAATGTGATTCGTACCCCGGGGCCATTCAAAAGCGATAATGGAGGACATTCAGCGGATGCCCATTTTTAAAGTTTTTTTTTTGGGGGGGGAAGGGCTGGTGAGTTTTTTTTACTCATGCGTTTCTGTTTGTTGCTTTTTGCGTTCTGCTTCCTGTTTTCTGCAGTTCGCTGCTGGCTTCTTGTTGCCACCTGCTTTTGGCTTTGGCTTTTCCTTTCTCTGTCAGCTATTGCTAGCTATTTGTTGCTTCCCGCGATCTCCTGAGTACTTTTTGCTCGCTGTTTTAGCTTCCTGGCTCTCGTTGACTGTGCTCAGGTTCCCGATTGCTGCTATCTGCGATTGTTTTCTTTTGCTTCTTGCTTTTTTTTCCTGGTAGTACTTTTCTGCTCACTAGTACTTGCCGTTTCCATTTCTTTCAATTTCTTTCGGCAGTTGCCATATCCTGTATCATTTTCCATAGTTCTTGGCAATTTTCATAACTTTTCATCAGTTGCATACTGTTTAATAATTTTCCGTCCTTCCGCATTATTGTCCATGTTCTTCATGGGTTTTCATGCTTTCTCGATAGTTTCCATCATTTTTCATCGCCTTTATCCATGTTGTTTGCAAGCTTTTTTTGAGGCCATCAATGCTGTAATAAAGAAGCATTATGTCATCACCATGTTTGCCATGAGGAATGCTTCTGCAGATCATTTTGTTTGCGGATGGGCGGGAGTTGTCCCGGCCCTTCATCCCTTGTTTTAATGCCGTCCACACTCGCCGTGTCCGAGAAGCGCCGTGTTATTGCCAGAAATGGCAATAAAAGAGCGTTGTGCTGCATGGCAAATTGCAAAGCACGTGCAAAGCAAGCAGTGCCATTAGTGATCAGGGCTATCTGCGGTTTCAGCGGCTTTGCCTTATGCGTTGATAAACGCTTCTGGCGGGAGTGGAGCTCGTCCAAGATGTGGTGAACCAGATTAAGGCTCGCCCTGAACATCAGCCTACAGCGCCTGTTGAAGGGATGGTCGTCCTGCTCGCGAACGTGGGGCTGGTGTCTTCGCTAAAGGACCTGTCTCCTATTGGTTTGTGCAGCGAGTTGCGCAGGGAGGCTTTAACGAAGGCCTCGAAACACTCACGAGGTGCACTCAGCACCGGTTTTCCGTGCGACCACCAGGGTCGGATCCGAGCCGTCTGTTGGCTCCAGAAAAGGGGCCCCGTACTTGAGAGGTCAAGCGAGGGACCGGCATGAACGATTGATGCTCACCTGATCGGTACAAGTTGCACCAGACAAAGATGAGTCATCAATCGTATGGATGCTTCAAATGCTTGGTAACTTTACCAACTGCTGAGCGGCCTTTTTGCTTACTCGCTTCGCGGAGGTAAAGGTTGGATCAAAAGCCACTGACCACAACCAAGTCTTCAAGAAGGTTAAAAGCCCAACACGACTCTCAGCTTTCTTCTTTGTCATAGCATCAGCCAAGTCGTAATCGGAGGCTAGCCATCGCGGCTCGCATCCGACGCGTCGAAGATTATCTCGAAGCTGGAGGGCTTGGAGGGCAGCTCGCATGTTGCGCAAGCCCAAGAGCGGAGACTCATTCCGCTCCACAGCATCGTAGCCGCCGCTAGAATCTGTGCATAAGACTCCTTTCACTGTGCTTGCCTGGCCTTCTGCAGTGGTGACTAGATCAATTAGATCATCACGAAGTTGTCGAGGAACGCCACGTCCATGAAGCTTTGTCCAGAGAAGTTTAATGCGGAAGTTCTGGTCCTCGGCCTCCAGGATCGCTTGAACTTTTGCATCGTTGCTTCCATGGCCTTGCGCTTCAACTTCCAAGTCCGCCGGGCGATAAGGCACATGGGGCAGACTTCAGGCCAAGGTAAGAAGTCCTCCAGTTGAGTCGCCGTTGTCCCTGTTGGCATGTGCCTGATCTCCCATGGAAACAAAGACCATTCCGGACCAGTGGCGCACTGTGCGAAGCTTGAAGAACTCCAGGCGGTAGCTCTCGTTTCTGACTTCAGCAATCATTTGCTGCATTTCTCGGGCAGTCTGAAGCTGGGCCTTTGTCACCACTTCAGTCAGAAGTAAATTGCAACGGCTGCAAAGCTGTGGTTGAGTCTGCACTGCTAGCCACTGCAGTGCTCCAAGAGCCGTGCGGCACACAGCTATTTCCGAGGGGTTCATAGTCCCATCGGAAGCCAGACGGTCTGGCTTGACATCCACATCCATGAGGCTCTCGATGCAGTAGTCGTGGTCCACGGTGATTTTCGTGTTCCCGTGGGCGTCGAGGGATGTGCTGACGTCCGTCCCTGCATGACGATAGTTCTTGAACTTTGTCATTGCCCACTTGTAGGCCTTGTTGACCTTCTCCTTAATGGCTTGCCATTCAGCGCTGTTGTTATCGCCGATCCGGTGGAAATCATCAACATGTCCTCCCATGGCTCCTATGGTGCGAGGGTGGTCTCCATCGCATTCATGTTGAGACAACCAAATCCACAAACAGCGCTCGCCCACTATGGCTATTGCCCCAAGGTTTGTCACAGTCTTGCGAAGGTCCAGCCGCAGTCCACGGGGTGCCGTGGTACTTCCGTAGATGTTCCGAAGGATGCGGAGACTGCTTTCGGAGTCAACCCCAAGAGCTTGTCGTCGCTCTTCAACTCTTGTTGTCCACAGTGGCGCATCTGCTTCAGTGGGCATCGTCTGCAGGAACGCTGTCGCAAGGTTTAATCCCTCCAGTTCCCAGCCATGCTGTGCTGCCATCAAGTACAGCAAGTTTCTCCCCAGCATTGATTGCACAGGACTAGCGGTTTTGAAGCTGGGGTCAAGAAGGCTTGGGTGCTGGAAGCCGAGCATTACGATCCTTGCCTTCGCCTTGCGACGACCTTGCTTGTCATGGAGAGTTGTTTCCGTATTTTCCATGGCATCCTTGACAGCAGCTTCCCGATCTTCAGGAGGAACCAGCTTCCAGGTCAACACCCATCTCGCCTTGACTATCCGCTGGGAGTCGTAGGCCTCGCGAACTTCTTGACTGTCCACGCATTTGCGGACCGCCTCGTTCTTGATGAAGGACTCCACCTCCTTGGCTTTCGCCCGCACGAACAGTTCACGTTCTGCTGGAGACAGCCGAGCCAGGCTGACTTCAGAATCCCTCCTCTTCTTCACCATGAACGCCACCGGGTTGCGCTCGAACATCTTGCGCTGTCGATTGGACCATGTCGTCGGCATATCGATCTCGATCTTGAAGAATTCATCCACCTCAGACATTGCGGCATACATGTCCATGGTTGGTTCAGGATGGGGTTCGCTGTTTTCTAGCTCCTGGACCCAATGTAGGTCGCAGTCCACAACGTTGCCATCCTCGTCCAATCGCGCCCGCTGCAAGTCCGGCTCGAGGTACTCATTGACGTTTTCAGTAGGTTGTGGTTCAGCAGGAATCATTGGGGCAGTGGATGAAGTTGCCGGCTGTGGTCCTGGGTCGTCGTTCATGTCTGTTGCTGTAGTCGTTCATTGACAGGCGGTTGTTGGTACTCACCAGGTTTGCAGGTCACCTTCTGTCGTAGTCCCCGATGTGGAATGACCAAGAGGGATCTGGCCGTTCAGGAAGGTTTGGTAGCTCAGTCTCATCCTCATTTGGGGCCTGGTCCATCAGGTCCGTGTACTTTCGTCGAGGTAGAACATCGGCCAACGAGCGCCAACGAGTGAAGTCCTCCTCAGTGGTGATCTCGTGCTGGAGTCGCTCGGTTTCCGTGACAGGTCTCACAGAGTGGACAGAACACCGTAGAAGTTGGCTTCCAACTAACACCCATACAACATGTATCCTTTCTTCGCCTCGTTGTTGATGTGGGAGTGCTTCTTGGAAGAGTATTCGTCCAGGACCAATCCAGTGCGGTCGTCCAGACTTCTTGAAGCCTCCGCGTGGTCCGGAGTGCTGCTCTTTGGGCCAAACCTTGCGCCACACCTTGACCAAGTCCAGAGGCGAGAACTGTCGAAGGGGCTGCCGCACACTGGTGTTGTGTAACTTCACGAGCACCCTCTTTGCCTTGGCTTGTCGAGCGATTTCTTCAGCACGTTGACGACAAACCACCAATCTTGCAAAGTCACTCTTGGGTTCCACAAGCTCAAAAGCCAGTCGATCTTCATCCGTAGGTTGATGTGACGCTCCAACTGCCGATTGGTGGGCTGAGTAGCCCGCCGTCAACTCTGTGGCATTCAGCGCCGACACCGCCATGTGTAGCGTGGCAGAAAGGTCCACATCCATGGCCTCGAGGTAGATCGCTGAGGCCGTGTGTCTGACATCTTGTATGGCGGCCTCTATCACACCATTGGCCCACGGTTCCTTCTCGGCCAGGTAGTGTACAAGCACCTGCAGGTCCCTCAGAAAGTCGCTGGCCTGCTCTGACATGAAGCTTTTGGCAGAGTCAAGGATGACAACCTTGCGCCTGGGAAAAACACTCAGCCATCTCTCCGAAATCGCCTCAATGAAGTGACGACCAGACTCAGCTCGCATCTCCAGGAAGTCGCACAGATACAGCACATGAGCCGCCCTGAGTTTCGTGGCCACGTCCATGAGCAGCAAGACTTCACCTTCTTCTTTTTGCCTGGTGGTATCCACTCGGCAGAGTCCACAGCTATGGCTTCCCAAGCTTGAAACTGAGAGTGAGTGCTCGCTGGAGGAACTTGACCAGAGCTCATGCCACCAGGTCGAAAGCTTTCACAGCCGGGACAGTAGAACTCCTTAGCCACTTGTATTTTCCATTCGGGATGACCTGCTTCCTTGATGATGCGAGCCAGATTTCGATTGGTAGGATGTCCTGCTGCCTTGTGGAACTTGGCGACCTGGGCTTGCCACTTCTGGTACTCGGACTTGTCGATGCCTTCTGGTACAGCATCTTCGACTGTAGGACCTGTGTTGTGCTCGCGCGTAGCTGGAAAACATGTAATACCCCAGGATTGTGATGGTAGTGCCGAATGTGTTTGACTGTCGTCTGGCAATTGAACATTCTGCAGTTCCTGACAACCCTAGGATTGTGATGGTAGTGGCGAATGTGTCTGACTGTCGTTTGGCGCCGGTAAGCGTCGAAAACCAAGTGATTGTAGTCGATGACGATCCGTCTGGGACATCCAAGGTGTCATCCGGGTCGTGTAGAAGGAAATGACCATTCTGGTACCCTTCCAACGTTCGGTCGCATGGTATTCGTGCGGTTGAAATTGGACGAACTTGTGGTAGGTGTTTAGAACCACACCCTTGACAATGGTCCCATTGGGTAGACGTCGCCTTCGGACCACATCATCACCTTGAAGGGGTCGACATAGCCACAGTCCTCGACCATCATACTTGCCAAATCCACACACGATATTGTCAGTGAGCTTGTGGTTGTGATGGTCCTTGTGTGGAATGCTTCTGCAAGTCTAGCCAACCATAAGGCTTGACCAGAAAGCTTGTGGTTGGTGGCATTTGAAGAATGTGTTCACATATCTGACGAGGAAGTCGAACTGCTCGGTTGCCTTGCTGACACCTGAAAAAGCTCCATGTGAGTATCCACCAAATGCAATTGAGCATCCTTGCCCGGGGTTCCATCGGGAGTGTTCGTGGATTGCCTTGTAGTAGACATTGAAAAACTCCAGAAGTGTTTCCAGGGCTTCGAAGGTGTACTCCTCTTTGGCAGTGGCCTCATCGAAGATTGACTTCAGAGTCAGCCTGTCCATCTTCTTCAAGTAGATCTCGAGCGGTTGGGAGTCCACATCATCCTCGATGTCGGACAATTGATCTTCCACCAGATTGGCGTAGACTATGCCATCATTGTCCACTTCATCACTTCCAGGTCGATCCACTTCCACAGGTAGATCGTCTCGTCGTTGTAGTAGACGCAGATGTCGATTTGGCGCTAGACCATCGTGCCAGAACCGACACGCAGATTGCACAAATTTCCAGGGATAGTACGACGCGGCGGACCACTCTGATTCTCCTTGATGCGCATGGAAGTGTCCGCCTGTGCAAACCTTGGTCCGAAATACCCTGTGAAAGTTTTCGTCGTTGGTCCTGATGGTCCACCGCTTGTGTATAAATCCACCATCTTCACCTTCAGTTCACGCAGTCCGTAACGACAACCATCCATTCGACATGTTGCCCGTGGTTGACCTCGTGCCTCCATGAATTCTCGAAGATCTTCCATGGGCCATTGTTTCCATCCCAAACATTGAGTTGGCCATTCGAAGTAGATCATCACCTGGGGGTCGGCAATCATCGTCTCCTTGATGAACTGATTGACATGCCACAACATTCGACGCTCTCTGCGCTTAGCCGTTTCTAGTTGTTCTTCACGTCCCCTATGCTTGTAGTTCATGTAGTTCCAGGGACACCATTTTGTGCATGGAAGGCTGAACCAAATCTTCAAGGGCTTGTGTCGTTGACGCAGATCGCGTAGATGTTCCCAGGTTTCTGATTTGTAGAGATCGTAGCCATTGTGGAGGTTGATCACGCGAGCTCGTAGTTCATGTTGTTGTGCCGATTGGCTTAGCCATGAATGCGGTGCACCAGTCACCTCCCAAAGCGCATCTTGTTCCAACATGTAGTCCGACCAGCATGTATGAAGCCACTGTTGCCATAAGGGTGATGGCATTCATCACCTTGTTGCCGAGTCCCACGCTCAGAGGCCGAGTGGTCCTTGAAGTGGTTCGCAGTTTTACTGCTGAAGCTGATTGTCCATTTGCTCGTAGCCACTCGCCAGATTGTCGGGGTGCATCGCGGTAGTGGCCGTCACCTGCCAACTGCTGGTCGATGATGGTGTCGCAAACCTCGTGGTCTTCGGAGTGTTGCCCTTCTGGATCTCCAGCTGGTTGGGGTAGTTCGGAAGGTCCGTGTAGTTCGCCTGGAGGTCGCGGATGTGGATGCGCAGAACCTCCTCCGCGTCCACCTTGGCTTGCATGGCTCGCACAATCGTCGCCGTGGGTGCAGTCGCAATGGGTGCACTATTGCGGTGTGCTGAAAGGTGATGTGGCCTGCAATGTGGAGCTTGTTCCCGTCGAGCACATGTCGTTCAGTTGTCGTTGTTTACAAAAATGTGCTTCAGGGATCCCACCCTTTTTGCCGCGCAGTTTCGGGACGTTTGCAGTCGAGTGAGTTGCGCATGCGTGAGGGGAGGGTTTCATTTTTGAGCTCCATCTCGGAGAGCAAGTTTCAGTCGTTGGAGCTCCTAATTTTGGACGCTCCATGCCACTGTGATATGGTACATCTCATGTTAGGCTATATTTTTGCGAAATGTCTGCTGTTGCCATTCTTCCGCTTCCGTCCTCAGCTAGCATGCTGTGTGGTGTTCCCATGCAGCGGATTTCCATAGTGTCATTTGAACCTTGATTTTCGACACCCTAAGTGATGCGGCGTTGTGCTGCTGTGAAGTGGCATTGTGCTGCTGAGTGGGTGTCCTGTGCATGTAGTTGCGCTAGTGGATGCCCGGACTCGAGAGCGCTGAGAGAGAGGTTAGTGCTTAGAATGTGACTAGTTGACTAGTGTCCCGGAGCTAATCACGAGCAACAAAGGAGCATGATCAAGATGTTCGGCCGGCACATGCAGAATCGAGGGATGAAAAGCGATTAATACGACATTTTTGTGTCGTCGCGCACATGCAAGCATGGGCAACGAAGCAGCCTTGTGCTGCATGGCAGATGGTCACGTGTAAAACAAGCAGTGCGATTAGTGAGTAGAATGTGATTAGTGTCCTGGGACATTCAAAAGCGATAAAGGAGCGCAATCAAGATGTTCGTAGAATCAAGCGATTCAAGCTTGTGTGTGTGGCGATGGAAATCAAAGATCAAAGAAGTGCCTTATAGGTGATTGTAAGAAGCAACGTTCGGTAAGCGCAAATAGATTGGATAGGATCCATGAAGACGGCCAAAGTTGAAATGTTTGTTCAGGTCGTGCTGTTTGGCCGCGGCCAGGGCACAGAATGCAACACCGTTTGATTTGCAAGATTTTTGTGTTGTTGCGCACGCGCAAGCATGCGCACCGAAAGAGAATTGTGCTGCATGGCAGCTAGCCAGGGCACATGCATAGCAAGCATTGCGATTAGTGATTAGAATGTGATTCGTATCCGGAGCATAATTGATTAAGATGTGCGGCCGGTACATGTAGAATTAAGCGATTGAAACTTGTGTGTTGTCATGCGAGACGCTGTTATGTGTGGCGATGGAACTCAAAGATCAAAGAAGTGTCTTATAGTTGATTGTGTTCGAAGAAGCAACGTTCGGTAATCGAAAATATATTTGATAGGATCCATGAAGACGGCCAAGAATTGAAATGTTTGTTCAGGTCGTGCTGTTTGGCCGCGGCCAGGGCACAGAATGCACCACCGTTTGATTTGCAGGATGTTTGTCTTGTTGCGCACGCGCAAGCATGAGCACCGAAAGAGCCTTGGGCTGCATGGCAGATAGCCAGGGTACGTGCAAAACGAGCGGTGCGATTAGTGATTAGAATTTGACTCGCATCCCGGGGCCATTCACAAGCGGCAAGGGAGCAGAATCAAGATGTGCGGCCGGCACATGTAGAATCAAGCGATTGAAACTTAATTGCGTGTTGTCATGCGAGACGCTGTTGTGTGTGACGATGGAAATCAGAAATCAAAGAAGTGTCTTATAGTTGATTGTGTTCGAAGAAGCAACGTTCGGTAATCGAAAATATATTTGATAGGAACCATGAAGACGGCCAAGAATTGAAATGTTTGTTCAGGTCGTGCTGTTTGGCCGCGGCCAGGGCACAGAATGCACCACCGTTTGATTTGCAGGATGTTTGTCTTGTTGCGCACGCGCAAGCATGAGCACCGAAAGAGCTTTGTGCTGCATGGCAGATAGCCAGAGCACGTGCATAGCAAGCAGTGCGATTTGAATGTGATTCGTATCCCGGGGCCGCTCAAAAGCCAGACTGGTGCATATTCAGCAGATGCCTATTTTGTTTTAAGACTTTTTTTTGGGGGGAGTTTTTTTTTTTTTTTTCCTGCGTTTCTGTTTCTTGCTTTTTGCTTTCTGCTTTCTGTTTTCTGCAGTTCGCTTCTGGCTTTTGCCCCCTGCTTTTGTTGTTTGCTTCCAGCTTTCTGCCTGCTGCTTCCCTGCTTTTGGGTCTGTCAGTCTTTCCTTTCTTACGTTTTGCTGTTTCCTGGCTCTCGTTGACTGCGCTCAGCTTCCTGATTGCTGCTATCTGCGATTGTTTGTTTTTTTTCTTCTTGCTTCTTTTTCCTGGTAGTACTTTTCTGCTTAGTAGTACTTGCCGTTTTTCATCATGTGTCAAGATCCTGCGTCATATTCAGAATTTCCCTTACCTTCCATTTCTTCCAATTTCTTTCAGCAGTTGCCATATCCTTTATCATTTTCCATAATTCTTGGCAATTTTCATGACTTTTTCATCAATTGCATATTGTTTAATAATTCTCCATCCTTCCGCATTATTGTCCATGTTCTTCATGGGTTTTCATGCTTTCTCGCCTTTATCCTTGTTGTTTGCAAGCCTTTTTTGAGGCCATCAATGCTGTAACAAAGAAGTATCAATGTTTGCAATGAGGCATGCTTCTGCAGATCATTTTGTTTGCGCATGGGAGGGAGTTGTCCCCGCCCCTCACCCCTTGTTTTAACGCCATCCACACTTGCCGTGTCCGAGAAGCGCCGTGTTATTACCAGAAATGGCAACGAAAGAGAATTGTGCTGCATGGCGAATTGCAGAGCACGTGCAAAGCAAGCAGTGCCATTAGTGATCAGGGCCATCTGCGGTTTCAGCGGGTTTGCCTTATGCGTTGATAAACTTTTCTGGCGGAGTGGAGCTCTTCCAAGATGTGGTGAACCAGATTAATGATCGCCCTGAACATCAGCCTGCAGCGCCTTTTGAAGGGATGGTCGTCCTGCTCGAGAACGTGAGGCCGGTGTCTTCGCTAAAGGACCTGTCTCCTAGTGGTTTGGTCGAATCAGTGTGCAAACCGAGCGCAACACTTGCAGCGGCTCGCACTGCCGATATCTGGCCTCTGCCTCCTGAGCAACTTGGTGGGTTGCCAGGGATTCAGGTTGCTAAGGTGGATTGAGGTGGTGTGGTTGGCAAACAGCATGATGGCTAGGAGTGCCATGTACGATGATGGCCACGTGTTTCTCAAATTGACATCTCGGCAGCAATTGATAGCCTTGACCATGGGGCAGTTCAGTGGCTCGTTGCCCGATTCAACAACCCTGAGGTTGCTACCGGCATGCGCTTCCTCAATCGTCTTCTTACCAACCAAACCTTGCATTTCAGTTTGTCGGGCGAAAATTGATCGCAGAAGATGTTTCGTGGCACAGCCGCAGCCGAAGGTGGAATGCACTTCCCGAAGCTATGCCCGAATTTTGTGTTTGGTGTTCGCTGATTGGGGTGAAGCTTGGATGCTTCGGGGAGAAGTGCCGCCCTTCACAGCTTTGTCCTTGGCCCTTTGGGCGCTCATTTTTGTGGATGATGGACTGCTGTGTTTCACGGGGATGGCCCAAATATGACAGCTCCTGCCAGATATCATTCAAGCCCTGCATCACCTTGGCCTTGGCATTCATCGCGGCTGTTGGGCCGGCACGGGCGAGGGCCGTTGCCAGCCTGCTTTGCCTGGTGTGCAGGTGGTTTCTCAAGTCACATTCTTGGGCTGTAGCGTTGTCTGTTACTGCATCAGATGAGGAGGTGGCCCAGTTGTTGGGGCGTTTCTTTGCGCTTAGCCAACTATGTGTTGGATCGTAGGGTCACATTTTCCAAAGGGTTTTCTAGATCAACGTGTCGGTGGTTGCTTGAATTCGATGAATGATTTGGTGGGTGGGCGCCCTCTTCTGCAGTGTTGCGGCTACGCTGAGTCCAGCATTGCACGCTGCTGGCTTGGCTACGGGTTTTTTCGACAGCATCAGTCACGGGCCGATCTTTCCCAGTTTGCCTCGACGCGTCATGCGGCGAAGTTGCGGGGACGATGCTGTAATGGGTATCTTTGGGATGGTCTATGTGCTGTGCAGTGTTGGGGTTTGGTTGGGCATATGGTTCGCTCTTCTTCCTCCAGGTTGCCGTGTGCCGCTTTGACTTAGGAGTTCCATATGGGAGCTTTGCATCAGGGCATGCGGCGGTACAGACGCGGTCCCGATAACGCCAATGCAGCTCGAGTGTTTCAATTCTTGCACCTACTACACAGGAGATGGGAGTGTGCCGAAAGCCGAGTTTCGTGGCCATCCTTGGAGTCGCAATGGGTGCACTATTGCGGTGTGCTGAGAGGTGATGTGGCCTGCAATGTGGAGCTTGTTCCCGTCGAGCACATGTCGTTGTTTACAAAAGTGTGCTTCAGGGATCCCACCCTTTTTGCCGCGCAGTTTCGGGACGTTTGCAGTCGAGTGAGTTGCGCATGCGTGAGGGGAGGGTTTCCTTTTTGAGCTCCATCTCGGAGAGCAAGTTGCAGTCGTTGGAGCTCCTAGTTTTGGACGCTCCATGCCACTGTGATATGGTACATCTCATGTTAGGTTATATTTTTGCGAAATGTCTGCTGTTGCCATTCTTTCGCTTCCGTCCTCAGCTAGCATGCTGTGTGGTGTTCCCGTGCAGCGGATGTCCATAGTGTCGTTTGAACCTTGATTTTGGACACCCTAAGTGATGCGGCGTTGTGCTGCTGTGAAGTGGCATTGTGCTGCTGAGTGGGTGTCCTGTGCATGTAGTTGCGCTAGTGGATGCCGGGACTCGAGAGCGCAGAGAGGGAGATTAGTGCTTAGAATGTGACTAGCGTCCCGGAGCTAATCACGAGCGACAAAGGAGCATGATCAAGATGTTCGGCCGGCACATGCAGAATCGGGGGATGAAAAGCGATTAATGCCACATTTTCGTGTCGTCGAGCACATGCAAGCAAAGGCAACGAAGCAGCCTTGTGCTGCATGGCAGGTGGGAACGTGTAAAACAAGCAGTGCG